TGTTGTTGTTAGGTGCCTATACATAACGACCATATGCACAACAGAATGAAATACTGTCTGGTTCTGTGCCAACCTCACAATCATTGCTACACTTGAGCCCATCAGTACTGCCACCGTGCCAATCCATCTTGTTTGGGTCTTCTTCTTTTTTGCTGACCCTCCACTTTACCAAGCATGATGTCCTACTCCAGGGACTGGTCCCTCCTGACAATATGTCCAAAGTCTGAGAAATGAGTCTGGTCATCCTTGCTTCTAAGGAGCATTCTGGCTGTACTTCCTCAAACACAGATTTGTTTGTTCTTCTGGCAGTCCATGGGACTTTTCAATATTCTCCAACACCATAACTCACACGCATCAATTCTTCTATGGTCTTCTTTATTCATTGTCCAACTTTCACATGCATATGAGGTTATTGAAAATACTAAATACTATGACTTGGGTCAGGTGTACGTTAGTCCTCAAACTCACATCTTTGCTCTTGAACACTATAAGAGGTCTTGTGCAGCTGATTTGCCCAATGAAATACATCGTTTGATTTCTTGACTGCAGCTTCCATGAGGCTTGATGGTTGAACAAAATGAATTTCAACCTCTTCTCCATTTATCTTGATTTTTTTTTATCAAGATAAATGTTATAGGTCCAGCGGTGAGGAGTTTTGTTTTCTCTACATTGAGGTGCAACCCATACCGAAGGCTGTGGTCTTTGAATTTCATCATTAAGTATTTTAAGTCCTCTTCACATTCAATAAGCAAGATTGTATCATCTGCACATCACAGGTTGTTAATGAGTCTTCCTGCAATCTAGATGCCTTGTTAATATAATCCAGCTTCTGGAATTATTGGTCCAGAATACAGATTGATTAAGTATGGTGAAAGAATACAACACTGATGCACACCTTTCCTAATTTAAAACCATTCAGTGTTCCCTTGCTCTATTTGAACAACTGGCTCTTGGTCTATGTACAAATTGCTCATGAACACAAATTAGTGTTACAGAATATTCACTCTCAATGTTGTCCAGAGTTTGTCATGACCCACACAATCGAAAGTTTTTTTCTAGTCAATAAAACACAGGTAAACATCTTTCTGGTATTCTCTACTTTTAATCAACATCCATCTGACGTCAGCAATGATATCCCTCATTCCACGTCCTCGTCTGAATCCAGCTTGAACCTCTGGAAGTTGCCAATGTACTGTTGCAGCCGTTTTTAAATTCTCTTTGACAAAACTTTATTTGCATGTGATATTAACAATGTTGTTGGATGATTTCTGCATTCTGTTGGGTCACCTCTCTGGAATGGGCACAAATATGGATCTCGTCCAATCAGTTGGCCTTCCAAGTTTCTTGGCAGAGATGAGTGAGTGCCTCCAGTGCTTTACAAGTTTGTTTTTAGTGGTCTGTTTTTCTAATGTAGGTTTCCAGGTCTTTTTCCTTCAGTTAGAAGCCAAGTTCATTAATAGTTTTCACCACTCTGGAATTCCATTATTTCCCTCATTATTGAAGGTTCTTGTTGTTGTTAAGTGGCTTCGAGTCAGTTCTGACCCATAGTGACCCTGTATAGAATTTCTGAATAGCAGCTGGTGAGCTTGAACTGCCAACCTTGTGGTTCAAACCAACCTTGCAGTCCAGCATATTAACCCACAGCGCTACACCAGGATTCCACTCATATAGGCTTTCCAAGGAGTAGCTGGTGAGCTTGAACCACTGAACTTGCAGTTCAAACAACTTTGCAGTCTGACACATTAGCCCACAGCGCCACACCAGAAGGTTGTTGTTGT